GAACAATTTGGAGATTCCTCAAAAATCTACAAGTAGAACTACCATGTGATCCAGCAATCCCAAAAAGGACAGAAGAATTCTTCATTTGAAAAGTTGCTTGCACATTGTTGTTTATTGCAGCACTATTCAGATTGCTAAAACATGGAACCAACCCAAATGCCCTCGTACGGATGAATAGATTGAAAAACTGTGGCACATATATTCTATGGAATACTATTCGGCCATAAAAACCAACAAAACCCTGACTTTTGACAGAAAGTGGAAGAATATGGAAGAGTTACTGCTGAGTGAAGCAAGTTAGGCTATGAAGGGAGACATTGTATGTCCCCACTTAATATATACCAAGTGTCTGCACTCTATGAATGAAACCGATTGACTGAAAGTTGTACAAACACAAGAGATGAGTGTGAATGCCAGATTTGGTGTGTGTGGAAGAGTGGGACCTAAGGAAGGACATTTGGAGAAGGGATACAGAGACAGAGCATTGAAGGGAGGGGGAGGTATGGTGTTATTGGTTGAAGATAGTTTGATCAGCTGGACTGGGAGAAATGTTCACATATTGAAATGTTCACTTTGTAAGCTAACACACACACACACACACACACACACATACACACACATACACACAAATGTATTTCCTTGGCTAAACTTTTAAATATATCAATATATAATTTCTTTTTTATTTTAATTATTATTTTTAAATACATTCAATCACTGTACATCATTTAACTTGTATACAGAATTTACCCAACATGAAATACACCTCAGTCCAGTCCAGTTGAGAATACTGTGCATATCATCAACAGGTAATAAAACGTTTCTGTGCCCCACAAATGTCTTATATATTTTTTCTTGCTAGTAACCTTCAATACACTCTTTTTCTCTCCCACCCTCCTTCCACACTGTCCATACTATTTTCTTTTTTTTTTCCTGCTTCAGTTTTATTTGTACACACAGCACAGGAGGACACCAGCCCCACAGAGAGAGCAGCCTGGGGGTCAGTCCTTCTGTCCTCATACTGGCAAAGGCCTCTACCTCGGGACTTTTGTGGGGGCCTGGACACCTTTGGGAGCCTGAGACGTAGCTGGAACTTAAGATGGAGCTGCAGCTGAAGCCTGGGCTTTGGTCTGGGTCTTGGTCTGAGCCTTGGCCTTGTTGGCCTTTGGCCGAGAGAGCCTGAGGCCCTTGGCAATACGGACACAAGCACATTTCCTGAGCTTAGGGTGGGCAATGTAGGCAAGACGACTGAGCTTGTGGCTGCTGCCCTTCGGGACACCCTTCTGAATCTCCTTGGGCTTTACAAAGGCCTTGATGGCCTCCGCTCATGCACTCATGGCCTTGGCATTGTTGGCCTACATCTTCTTCAGACCCTTCCTGTTGTGCTTCCTGGCAAAGCACATGTTACTCAGGAATTTGGGGTCCACCCCTTTGAGAGATTCATATCTTTGTGATCGAGGTTTCCTGATGCCATTTCTATGCCATTTTTGGGACTGGTTGTGTGTGGTGTGGTTCTTGGCCTTGGCCATGTCTACACCAAAACCCGTGGCCACCGAGAGTCCATAACTATTTTCAGTGCTTTTATGTCCTCAAATCTTTCAGTCTCTGCCATAGAGTGTGGACAGTCAGTACATGTTAAGTGGAGACATACAATGTCTCTCTTTCATAGCCTGACTTGTTTCACTCAGCAATAAATCTTCCATATTTGTCCACTTTCTATCAAATGCCAAGATCTTGTTTTTTTTTTTTTATGGCTGAATAGTATTCCACAGAGTATTGTTTTCCACAGTGGCTGGACCAATTTACATTTCCACCAACAGTGTAGGAGAATCCCCTTTCACCACAACTCTGCCAGCACTTACCATTTTTTTTGTCTTCACCATCCTGGCGGGTGTTAGGTGATATCTCATTGTGTTTTTTTATCTGCATCTCCCTTATGACGAGGAATGTTGAGCATTTTTTCATATTCTTTTTAATTATTCATATGTCTTTCTTAGAGAGTCGTTTATTCAACTCATTTTCCCATCTTTTGATTGGGTTAATCATTTTCTTCCAGGTAAGCTGCTTGAGTTCCCTATGTATTCTGGTTATCAGTCAAAAATACTCTCCCATTCTAAGGGTTGTCTATTAACACTAATTACTGTGTCTGTTGTTCTGTAGAAACTTCTTAGTCTGAGGTAATCCTACTTATTTATTTTTGGGATTATTACCTGTGCTTTGAGGGTCTAATTTAATAAGTCTTTGCCTACTCCAATGTCTCCCAGATTTTTTCCAGTGTTTTAAACCAGTAGTTTTTAAAAATATATATATTTATTTTATTTTATTAATTAATTTTATTTTTAAATTTTATTTCAAGTTCTTTTATAAATTCAATCACATTATTTAGCTTGCAAGTGAATGTTCCAACATGTGTGCATTTCTTCCCAGTCCAGTTGATAATATTATAAAGTTATATTCAACAGATAATATCCCATTTCTTTGTCCCATTAATGCTATGCCTCTCTATTTTTCTCCTTAATGTCCTTCCTCACACTCTACTCCTTCACCCACTCTCTTCCCACCCTATATCTGGTATTCATAACCATTTATTGTGTTTCTATATCCTTTAGTCATTCAGTTTCAGTCACAGAGTGTGGACACTAGGTATATATTAGGTGGAGACATACAATTTCTCTCCATGATCACCTGGTTTACTTCACTCAGCAGTAAATCTTCCATATTCATCTACTTACTGTCAAAAGTCAGGGTCTTGTTTTTTTTGTTGATGTTGTTTGTTGTTGTTGTTTTTTTTATGGCTGAGTAGTATTCCACAGAGTATATGTGCCACACTTTTTCAATCCATCCATCTGTTTGTGGACATTTGGGTTGGTTCCATGTCATAGCAATTGTGGATAATGTTGCAATAAACATTGATGATTTGGGTAGACACCAAGGAGTAGGATTGTTGGATCATGCGGTATTTCTATTTGTAGATTTTTGAGGAATCTCCAAATTGTTCTCCACAGTGACTGGACCAATTTACATTCCCACCAGCAGTGTAAGAGAATTGCCCTTTCACCACACTTCTGCCAGTACTTATCTTTTTTTTTTTTTTAAATCTTAGTCATTCTGACTGGGGTTAAGTGGTATCTCATTGTGTTTTTGATCTGCATTTCCCTTACAATGAGGGATGTTGAGCATCTTTTCATATGCATTTTGGCTATCCTATGTCACCCTTAGAGACTGTTTTTTTCAACTCATTCTCCCATCTTTTAATAGGGTTGATTATCTTTTTGGGGGACAGCTGCTTGAGTTCCTTGTGTATTCTGGTTATCAGCCCCTTATCTGATGCATAGTTTACAAAAACGTTATCCCATTCTGAGGGCTGTCAGTTTACATTAATTACTGTGTCTTTTGCCATGCAAAAACTTTTTACTATGATGTAATCCCACTTGTCTATTTGGGGGATTATTGACTGTGGTTTGGGGGTCTTATTTAGAAAGTCTTTGCCTACCCCAATATCTCCCAGAGTTTCTGCTGTGTTTTCTAGGAGCAGTTTTACATTTTGAGGTCTTAAGTTTAGTTCTTTGATTCACTTTGAGTTGATTTTTGTCAAAGGTGAGAAGTAGGGGTTCACTTTCATCTTTCTGCAGTTGAATATCTAGTTTTTGCAGCACCATTTACTGAAGAAGATTTTCTTTTCCCACTGGATTGACTGATACCTGTTGTCAAAAATCTGTTGACTGTATGTTTGGTAATTTATTTCTGGGGACTCTTTTCTGTTCCATTGGTCCATGTGTCTGTTTCTGTGCCAGTACCATGCTGTTTTGATTATCACACCTTTGTAGTATATTTATGGGTCTGGAAGTGACATGCTGCCCACTCCACTCTTCTTGTATAGGATTGCTTTGGCAATACGAAGTCTGTTGTGATTCCACACAAATTTTATGATTGTCTTTTCTAGATCTGTGAAGACTGTGTCTGGTAATTTGATTGGGATTGCAGTAGATATGTAGTTTAACTTGGGTAGAATTGCCATTTGGTTATATTGATTGTTCCAATCTAGGAACGTGGGATGTCCTCCTACTTTTTTTGTGTCATTTTCAATTTCTTTTCTTTGCTTCTCATAGTTTAACTTCTTTGGTTAGATTTATTTCTAAGTATCTTATACCTTTTCTGGCTATGATAAATGGAATTATTTTTTCAGTTCTATCTCAGTCTGCCTGTTGTTTGTGTATAGAAATGCTATAGATTTCTGTGTGTTGATTTTGTATTCTGCAAACTTACTGTATTCATGTATTACTTCCAGGATTTTTTTCATGTATAACATTGGGTCGTCCATGTATATAATCATGTCATTTGCAAATAGAGAGAGTTTCACCTCTTCTTTTCCTGTTGGAATGCCTTTAACTTTATTCTCTTTTCTGATTGCCTTGGTAAGGATTTCCAGTACTATGTTGAAAAGGAGTGGAGAAAGTGGACATCCTTGTCTTTACCAGTTTTTAATGGAAAAGCTTTCAGCTTTTCTCCATTGAGGATGATGTTCACTATGGGTTTTTCATAGATGGCTTTTATTGTGTTAAGAAATGGGCCTTCTATGCCGATTTTGCTGAGTCTTGATCATGAAGGGATGTTGTATCTTATTAAATGCTTTTTCTGCATCAATTGATATGACCATATGGTTTTTATCTTTCTTCCTGTTAATATGGTGTATTCCATTTATGGTTTTGCGTATGTTGAACCAACCTTGCATTCTTGGAATAAAGCCTACCTGATTGTGATGTATAATCTTTTTTATAAGTGGTTGGATACAATTTGCTAGTATCTTTTTTATTTTAGACTGGAAAAACTTCATTTATTTGTTCAAATTTGTCATAACTGGGGGTTTGGACAGGGTCAATTTTTATTTTTCTCTCTCACTTTACAGTATTTCTTACAAATGTCTTTTACAAAGAGTAGCACATATATATGTGGTATGTGATACAAAATTACAAATCAATTTTTTTTCCTACACAAGCTCCAATTATAAAGTATCATATGAAAGTTCTCCTAAAGGAACCAAATTTAAAACAAAAACCATTCTAAATTTACTAAGTAGAGAATATTTTCAGTAATCACTCATCTATGCTTTCACATTCTATAAAATTTTTTCATGGTCAACAAACTGATTTAAATGATTTAAGTTATCCCACCATTTAAACAGAAAATTATCTGCAATAATTTTAAACCATGGAGTTAGCTTAACTTCACCAAGGGCTGCTTTTTTCAGAAGTTCCTGCAGTTCTTCCTTTGACATGGAACAGTAGCTTTTAATTTCACCAGGATCTGGATTCAAAGTTACATTCTTCCTCACAAACAAGATGTAGTCAATTTTGTGTTCACCCCAGATACCATCAGACTGAGCTTTGTAGTACATTCGTGTAGATAATTAATTTCTTCTGGTGGAACCTCTTCCATGGGAATTCCTAACTCAGATTGTAAATGCCTCTGTGCTGCTTGTTTTACTTCAATGGCATCGTTCTCTTCAAGCTTGCCTGGGTTACTTAATGGATGACTACAGCAAGTATTGGTAAAACAACCTGGAAAGGTAATTTTAGCATCTGATCTCTGTTGTAGCAGGAGCTTATTCTCACTGTTGAATAAGAAGACACTAAAAGCTTGATGCAACAATCCTTTCTCAATGTTTTCATTCAGATCACAATTCTTCTTGGTCTCAGCCCCAATTTTATTGTCATTTTCATCAATAAGAATACACATCTCTGCCAGGAGTTGAACCTGTTTCCCATCAAGGTGGTCATTATTTATTTCAGGCATCCTTACAAAATGTCTGATGTGTCCTAGGATGCTCAAGCCGGTGACGCAGGGCTCAATTTGCTAGTATCTTGTTGAGAATCTTTGCGTTTATATTCATCAGAGATATTGGTCTATAGTTTTCCTTCCTTGTCCTGTCCTTATCTGTTTTAAGGATAAAGGTATATAACGGCTTCATAGAATGAATTAGATAGAGATTCACCTTTTTGCATCTTTAGAAATAACTTGAGCAGTATGGGTGTTCTTTGAAAGTTTTGTAGAATTCAGTGGCGAAGCCATCAGGACCAGGGATTTTTCTTGTTGGAAGGTTATTAATTACTGATTCAATCTCCTGGTTTGTTATGGTCCTTTTCAGACTTTCTACATCTTCCTAGCTCAACCTTTGTAGATTATATGTATCCAGGAATTTGTCTATCTCATCCAGATTTTCTTGTTTCTTGGCATATAGTTGTTCTTAGTATACTGTAATGATGTTTTGTATTTCTACTATATCTGTTGTTATATTACCTGCTTCATTGCAGATTTGATTCACCTGGTTCCTTTCTCTCTTTTTCTTAATAAGTAAGTCTCACTAGAGGTGTATTGATTTTGTTTATCTTAAAGAACCAGCTTTTACTTTCATTTATTTTCTGTATATTTCATTTATTTTCTATGTTATTTTCTGCTCATATTTTTTCAATTTCAATTTATTTATTTGCATTCATTCACTGTACATCATTACAGCGTACAAAATGAGATTTTCCATCCAGAGTACACTGTATATTGTCTCTATCAAGCACATCAACAAACATGTTATTGTCAGCAAATGATCTTCCATTTCTTGGTTTCTGTATGTTTTCCTTTTTTTTCCCCATCCTTGATTCCCTATCTCTTACCCTCTGTCATCTCCCACTCTCCTCCCACACTGTCTCTGGTATCTATGTTTGCTTTCTATACTGTTTTCCCCACACATTTTATTGAATTACTAAGGGCCTTAATTAATCTAAATATTTTCATAGCAAACACAGATGATATATACATTTCCATGAACACAAGTCTAACTTTATGCATCCTATAAAGTAGCACCTAGCTGGGGCTATATATCTTACTGCAGCCATTGAATAGATTTTTTTTCCTGAAACATTTTTTTTTGTAACTTAATTTACATTATTTCCTTAAGCATCATCACAACATACAAAATGTGATTTCCCATCCAGTATATACTGCATAGTGACTTAATCATTC